TCCGATGTATAGAAGACGAAACAGGACCACCGTTAATATCAACGGAACTGTCTACAACGATGAATGGGTTTACCAACAAATCTGTACTTAGTCACCAAGTGCAACTGCCACATCAATCTCGAAAAATGCGGTACGATTTCGGCTGTGAAATATCTGTACAAGTGCATCTACAAAGGTCCTGACCGTGCACGAATCGTTCTTGAGACTGAAACTGGAGATGTTGTCGATAAAATCAAGCAACATTTGAACACGCGATATGTGTGTCCACCGCAAGCTGTACACAGAGTGTTCGGCTTCCTCATGCAGGATAAGTCTCACACTGTGTGCAGGTTAGATGTTCATCTGCCAGAACACCAGACAGTTCGTTTCGTTGCTGGAGAAGAACAGCAATTTCTAAACCGCGCACTACGCTTACAGCATACTTTGAGCTAAATCGGTTATGCGCAGAAACAGTCAAAACTGGGGAGCATAACATGGGGATTGGTGCTCGCGAGCTCTACTACTATCAAATCCCTGAACACTTCACATTCACTACCCAGCAAGGCTGGAGACCCAGAAAACGAAGTGGGGGAGAATTTTGAAAAAAGTATATTGTTTCACCGAGAGATTTTGAACACTACTGCCTGAGAATTCTCCTTCTGAATACAAAAGGAAAAACTTTCCTTTAGTATTCAGAAGCACTTGGTGACTAAGTACTTCCTTTGAAGATATTCGAACAGTTGATGGACGAGTTTACGAGAAGTTCTCAGATGCAGCTAAAGCTTCTTTTTTGGATGATGACTCATAGTATAGGGATAGCATACAAGAAGCAGTGCAATTTCAGACTCCATCAACATTATGCAGTTTCTTCACATGCCTACTTTGTTATTGCGAAGTGGGGTATGCTTGTTATGAAACGAATTTTGTGTGGCAATGAGCGAAGACCACATTAACCGTGGAGTTGGAGAAAATGAGGCTGTCGCTGTGGCATACTCTGACATAGCAGAACGAATGCTGCCTATGGACAAAGTGCTACAGCATGTTCTCCGAGCAATGTACGACCGGATGTTCCTATTTTGCCTACAGATTATGATCTTTACCAATTTGAAGGCTCACGGCTATACGGAACGTTGAACATTGACCAGAAAAATGCTGTTGACGATATTCTCACAGCTGTGAATGGTGACATCGATGTTTCTTTATTGATGGACCCGGAGGCATGGGGAAGACATATCTGTACACAGCACTATATAACCTTGCTGTAGGACAACGACGCTAAGTACTTTGCGTAGCATGGACAGGCATTGCAGCCAATCTTTTACCAGGAGGTTGCACAGTGAACTCTGCTTTTAAGCTGAATATGGCTAATGTGGATCGTACATCAATTTTAAAACGACAACAGAAAGAAGCACGCCTGTTAATGAGCACAGATATCATAATATGGGATGAGATATCTATAACTCCAAAGTGTGCCCTTGAAGCTGTTGATGCACTTCTTCGCGATATCATGCAGAACGACAAACCTTTTGGGGGAAAGGTTTGATCGTTGGTGACAACTTCCGACAAGTACTGCCCATAGTAGAACACGGTCAACGAGATGATGTTGTTGAATCCTGCGTTAACCGCTCCGTTCTGTGGCCGCTGTTCAGAGTATATTATTTACAAGCCAACATGAGATCGCGTGATGTATGCCACAATTGGCATAAGTTTCTCTTGAACATAGGCAGTGGACCGGCTAATAACGATGAAGGACGAGTGGAATTACAAAATAATATCTTAAGTAAGAGGAACATAGTTACAAGAATCTTTGGTGATAGCATTGATCCAAACGAAATGGAAGATCTTTACGAAAGAGCAATACTTGCTTCTAAGAACATAACTGTGAACAAACTTATGAATGAAGGATGCAACGTTTACGCATAAGTAGTGATCAAGAGAAACGAACTTACAGAAGCACAGATGAAGCGATACGTCAAAGTTCGGGAGATTTATGTCCTATGGAATACCTCAATACACTTGAGCCGTCAGGAATGCCCCTGCATAATTTAGAACTGAAGGGTGCAGTTATTATGTTGTTGCGTAATCTTGACGTCGTAAATGGTCTGTGCAATGGGACCCGCTTGGAAGTTGAAACATTAGGAAGGTTTGTTCTTGGTTGTCGATTCATTTGCGGTGATCACAAAAATCAGTTGGCGATAATTCCAAGGATAGACAATTACTGGGACAGTCATATACTGTTTCGCTTAAGAAGGCGGCAATTTCCCGTTCGCGTTGCCTTTACAATGACAATTAATAAATCTCAGGGGCTGTCGTTCAATAGAGTAGGTGTCTATCTTCCTGAGGACGTTTTCAGCATGGGCAGTTATATGTTGCCTTCTCTCGGGTCCGAACACGCAGGCCTCAAAGTGAACACTCCTGTAAAAACAGTGAAAAATATTGTTTACGAGGAGGTTTTACGTTAGACAGGCCTAGGCACGAGGTCTCCGAATGAACCTTGCGAAAACGAAAACCTTCCTGAAAATCCAGGAAATAATGAAGCCTCCTTTGTAAACTGAACAGACACTACAATCAGGACAAGCCTGCAGTGCCGTATATTGGAGCGCGTTTTCT